GATAGGGATAGGGATAGGGATAGGGATAGGGATAGGGATAGGGATAGTGAGGGGAAGGTTGGGATCCTTTGTGTACTCACTCAGTGTCAGGTCCTTTTCTTGCTGGGCCTGGTTGATAAGCTGCTTCATGCCCATCTTTTTCCAGATGTGGAGGGCCATGTTCCAGGCCTGGTGATTCCCATATTGAGCCACCAGGCCTGAGGCTACCTTTGTGCCACTGGCCTCTGGCCAAGTCGTTTGGTTTAACAGCTGATGTTGGAAATTTCTCAGCTCTTCTTTACTCATTTGCTCCAAGAAGTAGGTTAAGCGTTGCTGGGTTCTGTCAGACATGTCTGCCCTGGGAATGGGAATGATGGGCGTAAGGACACAGGGACAGTGGTCTCCCAGTGCCTCGGCCTTTACCACCTGCAAAGGGAAGGCTCTCATTGGGGTGATGTTTCCGGGCCTGGTGAACTCTATTCAGCCGTCAGATCCCAGGTTTAAAAGTCTAAATTATCCGTGTTTGGATGGTTTTGGGAGGTAGGAAGGGAAAAGGAGTGGCAGGAAGTTAGAGGAAGGAGAAGACACAAGGATGCACTGCAGATCTGATCATGAGGATGAAGGGAAGGGCCCAGGTCTAGTCAGGTAGAGTGGCAGACAGCAGCGAGGAGGAGGATGGGGCGTGGGAGGAGTTGGAAGATGTAAGGATAGAAGAAAAAGGAGACGAGAGGGTGAGGGAATCAGAGGATTGAAGGATGGGTGATGGGATATTGACAGATGGAGGAATGGGAGGATACGGACCCGAGGATGGACAGCCTGGAGGATTAGCAAGTGGAAGAATGAAGGTAGTAAGGGTGGGGGAGGGTGGAGGAATGAGGGTCTAGAAGGTTAGAGAGAGGCTAGCAGGCAGAGTGGATATGATGGCAGAGAGATGGAGGAATGGCATGTGGGTGGCACTCACTGTTTTGTGGTTCCCACTTTTTTCTTTTTTTCCTAGAACCCACACTAATGAGGTCAGTCTTTCAGCTCCAGCCTTGACAGAAGGTGAGGTGGTGAGGGACAGCCACAGTGGCACTCAGAGATCACAGGTGAATCCAGGCTAGCCCCTTTGAAGTTCTCTTTAGAAACCTCCTGGTCCAGGACATCACTCAGGGGTAATAATCCAGAGTCAGCTTCCTGGCAGGAAGGACAAATCACCCAGGGAAACTGAAAGAACAGTGAAGTCAGGCGAGGGGAGCATCCTGGACAGGCTGTGGCAGATGCAGGCACATGCGGCATAAGGGAACACCCAGCAGCCTACCACCCACTTGAGCTGGCCTTCGGAGTCCACACAGGGTGGGGCCCAACCCTGGTTCTCAGGATGGAGCCTCACGTCTGCCACAGCACCCACTTAGTAGAGTCTGGCCAGGGAATATCTTTCTTCACCTCTCTTGGTTTGGAGCCCCACAACTCACCTTGCTCTTCTGTGGTGCCCCACGGCTGTGTGTCCCAGGCTAAGGCAGCTGTGTGGATCGCAGAGACCTCAGTAAACACATCCTTTGAAAGTGAAAGTGACCCTGGTTCCTCGCCACAAAGTCAGACATCAGGAGCCTGCGCAGATGATCTCTGTCTTTTGGCAGATCCTCAGATCTCTGGGCTTTCAGACTGAGAATGACATCGCTTAACTTGTTTTCTCTCATGGACTGCCACTAGAAATTTCTAGAGTTCTGATGAGTCCTGGGTTGGAGGATCCAGCTCAGGAGGTTTATCCAGGCTTGCTGAGGCTCCAACTCCCTGAGTTTAGGATTCACTTCCCAGAGCCGCAGTTTGCCCATTTAATATGCGGGATGTCACGGTTTGCCAAGCAGTGTCTGATTACTCTAGATCTTCCCTCCCCTCTTTCTCTCTCTGCTCTTCCCTCTAATGCCTCACCCACGGGTTATTCATTTCAGCAAATGGCTCTTTAGGCCTAAAACACTGGGTCTCTTCTCTCTTCGAACATTTTTATTTTTATTCTACTTGTATGTGTGTGAGTCTGTGAGTCTTCCATGTGTGTGGGTGCATTTGAGAGCTGGAAGAGGGTGTAGGGTTCCCCTGGAGCTGGAGTTATAGGTGGCAGCTAGCCACCTGATGTGGGGTGGGTGCTATACTATGCTGTGATGTGAACTCAGGTCCTCTGAAGAGCAGCAAGAAGTGCCCTTAACTTCAGAATGATCTCTCTAGTCCCACTGGGTCTTTTTTTTTTTTTCCTGTGCCATGAACTTTCCCCAAATCTTTACTTCTCTCTGACACCGTCCTTTTTCAGGTGTGTGGTGAGTGCTTGCTTGTATGAGTGTGGGCTCATTGGTTTGGTAGGGCTACAGTCCTTGCTTGCTCTCCAGTTCATTTACTGAGGCAAAGTCTTGCCTTCAGCTGCGAGTTTATGGATTTGGCTAGTCTAACTAGTTAGTCATCCAGCGTGGGTACGCCCTGTTCCCTCCTCTGGAGCTCTGGGATCACAAGCTTGTAGCCACGCCCAGCAGGCATCTGTGAGGATGCTGTGGATCAGAGCACAGGTCCTCATGCTTGCATAGCAGCCGCTTTACCCACTGAGCCATTGCTGCAGTCCTGATACTGGCTTGTAAACAGATCTGTAATCTGACCCTTCTCACTGTGTCCAAGGAGACTGCTGGTCCAGCCAGTGTCTTGTATCTCTTCCCCTGCTTCCTAACTTTCCGTGCTGATGTTTTTGGTCTCTCAGTCTTGAATCCAGAGTTACATATCTAATATTTAAGGTCACCTCTTAGCTCACACCTTCCTGTTCTTTTCATCTCACTCTGGGTGAAACACTGGTTCCTTTCAGTGGGTCACAAGGCTCTACCTGTCCTACTCCATCCTACCCTGTCCCTTTCTGACACTACGTCCCAGTTTATGCTCCTCACTCACTCTGCTGTGGGCCATCTGCTCTACCTTCGTATTCCTTGAACACACCAGGAACTTGCTCACCCCAGGACCTTTGCACTGGCTTCTCTATTCTTTTTGAATGACTTCCCACAGGTCAGAAACTTACTACCTGCTTTCTGAAGCAACACTTCCCTTCTAGAATTTTTCATCATTCTCCTTCTTGACATTGTTATCACCCAACAGCACAGACTTTCTTTTGCTCATCTCCTCTTCCCCCTCTTCTTCTTTCTTGGTGAGACAGAGTTTCACTGTGTAGCCCTGGCTGTTCTGAAACTCTATCTATAGACCAGGCTGGTTTTGAACTCACAGAGATCTGCCTGTCTCTGTCTCCTGTGTGCTGGGATTAAAGGTATGTGCCATCACCACTGGCAAGCAAAAACTTTCTTTCTGTCTCTTCTATCTACAAAGAGAATGGAAATTCTTAGAGGCAGGACTTATCCTGTTTGTTGATTGATATAACTCCTGGGTCCAAGTTAGTGCTTGACCTTCTATATCAGCACAGAAATACTCACAGTCTGAGATGTGGTGTCTTTTTTTTTAAATATTGACATTTATTTATTTGTGTGTATGGTGATTGGTGTGACATGTGTATATGCACATGCCATGGATCACATGTGCTAGTCATAGGAAACCATTCAGGAGTCAGTTCTTGCCTTCCACCATGGACAACCCTGTGATCCAATTCCGGACATAAGGCTTGGAGGCAACTGCCTGCTGTGTGAGTCTCTTCCTGGGAAAACACGATTGATACAGGAGGGCCACACCCATCTGGGGGGTGCCACTCCTTGGCAGGTGGTCCAGGGTTGTATAAAAAAGGAGGCTGAGCAAACAAGCCCTGAAGAGCAAGCCAGTGAGCAGCACTCCTCCGTGGCCTCTGCTGCAACACTCCTCCGTGGCCCTTGGTTCCTGCCCCGCCTCCTCAGGAAGGACGGTAAGCTGTAAAGTGAAGTCAAGCTTTCCCCCTCAAGCCACTCATGGTCTGTTGTGGTGCTTTTCACAGCAACAGAGAGTAAACGGAGAGGCACCCTGTGTTTTAACAGGTTTCCCTCCAAGATGATTTCATCTCAGGCAAAATTGCTGTATACCCGTGTCTTCACCTGCTGAGCCATCTTGTTGGAGCCCCGAGAGATTTGTTTTATTCTTTTCTACCCTTGCTTTTATTTTCCCCTCCAAACTTTTTCTTATACAATATGTTTTGATCGTTCAAACTACTATAACTCCCACCAATAATGAATAAGATTTCCTCTTTCTCCATATCCTCAGCAGTATTTGTCTTTTGTGGTTGTTCTATAAATAGCCATTCTGGCTGTGGGGAGATGCCGTGCTAGTTGAGTGAGACCAGCCTCCATATATTTGGATGTTTGGGCCCCAGTTAGTACAGCTGTTTGGAGAGGATTTGATGTGTGTCCTTGTTGGAGGAGGGGTGTCACTAGGGGCATGCTTTGAAAATTCAAAACCCCACACAGTTCTCAGTGTCTATAGTTTTCTCTCTCTCTGCTTGCTGCTTGTGAATCAGGATGTCAGCTCTCAGCTACTGCCCCTGTACCATGCCTGCCTGCTGCCATGCTCCTAGCCATGATGGTCATGGACTCCAATTGTAACTCTCAAATTATTATTAATATTTTTTATCATTTTTTTACATAATTCTTTATTGACTCTTTGGAAATTTCACGTCAGGCACCCCAATTCCACTCACTTCCCAGTCCCTTTATATACTCCACATCTGGGTAGCGTGCCCCTCAAAATTAATTAAAAACAAAACAAAAAAATCTGGGTTGCTCTGCCATCTTTTCAACACCCCTTCATTCATCTGAGCGGCATAGGAAGCTGCGGTGTGCCACTTCTGTCCAATCATCCCCACCAGCAGAACGTTCATTGCAATGAGTCCTTGGTCTGGTTCAAGGCTTCTGCCACACCATCATCACTGGGGGCATTGAAACACATCTAGGAAATCCCACTGTTGCCCTGAGTCATAGAGATCCTGTTGCTCCACAGGACTGGTCCTTTAGCATCCTCCAGTCGGTCCCTAATGGGGCAGTTGTTAGTGTGGGGCAACCCAAGGCCCAGCTGAGCTGGTTGGTCTGGGCCACTGGGTTCGCCCTCTTAGGCAAGGGACAGAGCCAGCTCTTCTAAGCCCTTGTCATCAGGGTCAGCTCTCCCATGCCTGTGGTGAGGTTTGTGGTCATCTCTCCTGAGTGTGTCTGTCGAGGGGTTGGTTAGCACCCCTGCTGCAGTGTACAGCAAGGGGGCAGGGACAGCTATCCTGGGGCCAGTGAGGGGCAGGACTGGCTCAGCATTGCCCTTTGATTTCAACACACGTGGTTTCTATGACCCCCTATGGTAACTTGAGTCATGGACATCAGCCTGGACCCTGGCTGCTGTTGGACCATGAACCCAGACATGGCCCATAGCAGTAGCCCAGACTTGGATGATACTGTGGCCTGGTGAAGTTGTGTGGGCCAAACAGACTTGCATAGTCCTGGTTGCAGCATGGCCCTTGGATACCAACATGGCTACAGGATGCAGCCTAGACCATAGGCATTTGTGTGACCACAGGGGCATCATGGGCCACAGACATCAGAGACCCCCAACTGTGATAGGACTGTGGACCCAGTCATGGTCCCCAACAGCAGTCTGGGTTCTGACATCACCATGGCCACAGGTGGCAGCACAGCCCACTTGGATCGGCATGGTCCCTGCAGCAGAGCAGCTCTTGGACACCAACAGGTGACTGCCCAGACCCCTGGCATCAACATGGCCTTCCACGGTATCAGGAGCCATGGGAGTCAACTCTGGCTACAGTAGGACCGTGAACCCAGACATGGCCCTTGGCAGCACCCATTGCCCTAGTGGCAGCATGGTCTCAGACACCAGCCTGGCCACAGGATATGGTCTAGACCTCTGACATCTGTGTGACCTTTGGTGGCACCACAGGCCAGGGATATCACAGACCCCAACTGTGGTAGGACCGCAGATTCAGAAGCGGCTCTCAGCTGCAGCCTGGGCCTGGATGTCACCATGTCACCTCATGGCATCGAAGGCCACTCAGATCTGTATGTAACTCTGGCAATAACATGATCCTCAGATCCCCACCTGGCCTCAGGTGATGGCCCAGACCCCAGGTATTGCATGACCTTTAGTGGTAGCAGGAGCCATGGATATCAACCCAGTCCCTGGCTGCAGTAGAGCCAAGGACACAGCCTGGGCTTTATGTCACCATGATCCTGGTGGCCTCACAGGCCATCCAGATAGGCCCCAGTGGCAACGTGACTTTTAGACATCAACATGAGTGAGTCCCATAATATAACCTTTTAATTTCAAATGGTCCCATTTGTTAATTTGTCCCATTTTTTTAATGACTAGAGCCGTTGCCAGAGAGGCCTTCCCTGTGCTTGCATCAGGAAGTGTTTCTTCCTCTTCCCCTCTAGCAGATCTAGGGTTTTGAGTGTTGTGTTGATTTCTTTGGTGCATTTGGAGTACTCTGCAGGGTGAGAGGAGAGGATCGTTCTTCTACATACAGGTGTCCAGCTTATCAGCACCACTTGTTAGTGAGGCTTTCTCTTTGCCAGTGAATAAGTATTATTGTCACCAATGAGTGTTTTTGCTTGTCATTTTACTGTAGAACAACCCCCCTATTTTATCATCTAAAATATTT